CTGATATCTTGCAAACTCGTCGAAGATGATGAAGGTGGTTCTGATGACGTGTATTCGCCATGTCCCAGCCATTTCGGTAATCTATGGCAAAACCCACCAGCAGACCTTGAGTATATGCACGATGGCTGAGACGACCGCTGCCTGACATTCATTCGTGCATGTCAACATGCGTGATGTCCATGTGCTTCAACCACCTCGTGTAGTTCTCGGGCGTCACCACCGGCAGCTGGGCTTCGAAGTAGAACTCCTCAGGCATAGCTCGGTAGATTCATTCAATGTATTTCTTCGTGCCATCGTCGAAGTCATGTGGCTAGATATTCGTGCCGTTCCACTTCGTCGTCTCAAAAGATCTCCATCGCTGGTAATAGGCCTTGCCAGTCATCCGCTCGCCGTGGTAGGTGTCGTTCATTTCCGCTTCTGGTGTGTTGAATCTCACTCTCATTCCACTCTCTGAGGTCTGAGCTACTGAGTCGTCGTTCACACCAGTCGTCGTTGTCGCGCCAGCAGCAGCTGGAGCCACCATCTCCATCTTCCCGCTGGGCTTCACGTTATGCGAGTCAGGTACATAGGTGCTCAAACGCCGCCGTTGGCTTGGCTCGCCAAGAGCAGCTGGGGTCACCGTCTCCATCTTCCCGCTGCGCGTTCCGCCATGCGAGTCAGGTGCATAGGTGTTCAAACGCTGCTGCTGGTTCGGTTCGTCATTCTGAAAGAGAATAGAGAAACTTCCGTGTTTGATATTCCGATGCCTTCGCCGTCCATGATCTTATCCATGTATGCTCTCACTGCTCGTCGGAGTCGGTCTCGTTCCTTCACTGTTCCAGCACTCGGGTCATCAACCGGCAAGATGTAGTGTCCAGATTCCGTGTAAAGAGCTCGCATGAATGCCGTCGGGCGCAGCTTATTGCCGAGGCCTTCCAGGCTGTTGATGATGAGTACTCCATCCTTGTTCGGCAAGATGCCCGTCAGGAGGCCCATCGTGTTGTTGATCATGCTTTCCAGCGGCATCAGTAATGGACATCTGCTGCCAGTGCCGCCCAACATGTCCGTAGTGAAGCTGCTATTTGGCAGAGCCTCCAAGTTCAGGGGTAGCTTCCCAAGTCCAAGAGATGGATTGGCCACACCGTCGTTTCCAGAAAGCTTCGCTGCCGAGCTCGTCACTTCCAGCTGCTGACCTTTGGGCCAGAGCAGCACTGCACAAACTTCACGAAGAGTCTCTGTGCCTCCTAGACCCTTGGCGGCGCCCGGGTCAATGATGAGGCCCAGCCGCCGTTCTCCTCGAACCGTATGGTATGCAAATGCCTTGCCAGCACCGCTGTTGTCTTCGTCATCTCCAAGGAAGATGTGTCGACTCAGCAGTGAGTTGTGCAGCAAGTCCGAGAAGCATCCTTTTTGCGGTGAGCCAGGTGTTCGTGCCGATGATGTAGCCTCTGGAGATCTGGTTCGTATCCGTTGGTGTTGGTCCTGATCATCGTCGTCCTCTGTGATCGTCGTCTGCTTCACAGGTCTCGAAGGAAGGTCAATCTTAGAAGACTGAGATCCGAACTCCGTAGATGTCTGCGTCGATGTCCTGGTTGTGCCGTCCGAGCCGCGGCTGAAGGGGTTGTCACTCGTCTTCTCTTTCTGTACCTCTGGCATAGAGTCCAGGAGAGATGCCTTGAATGTCATTGGTCCGTTGCCTGGACGATCTCCATGTTGCTGTCATTTATTGAGGCATGTCTTGGTTCCTTTCCAGTAGAGCTGCGATGGGTATTCATATCCTTGATCGTCCTCATTCTGATATGCTTTGTGATAGACATGTGCCTCTCGCCAACTGAGGGATGACTCATGTTCATAATGATCGTACTCGTCCAGTCTGTAGGCTGGGCAGTCGAAATACTGCGTCTCATTTGTGCCGTCTGCAACCTCTTCGCGCATAGGATGCGGAGAATGGACAGCAGGCGTCTGAGGCATATCCCAAGAGCCCGCACTCGATGATGCTGAGGATGGTGGCGCTTCCTTTCGCGGCAGGTCCTCGTAGGCGTGCAGGTTGAGTCTGATATCATTTTGAGTGCCATCTGCTTTCGAACCAACCACCGATGCGAATCCATGACCACCTTGTTTTTGTCCGCTACCATGTCCTTATCCTTGTGGAGGTTGTCCTTTATTCGCCGGGCAGTCCGAATTCCTGTGCCACTTGGAACCACAAACACTGCATCCATTACTGCCGCTGTCGCCGCCACCTGACGTTCGGCTCTTGGTGCTCATCTTGCCGCTGGTTTTGTCCACCCCAGTGTGCTTGATGATCGTCCTCGTAGTGGCTACTGCTCCATCGTCCTTTACTTCGTCCTTTTCCTCCAGATCCGCGTCCTTTTGATCGTCCTCGTCCTTTGCCTCTGCTTTTACTCTTGCCTTTGCCTTCGCCGGTAATTGCCACCAAATCTGTATGGAGGTCGAAAACTTGACATCTGGTATGCTTGGTCCAGCTCCGCGTCGTCAAGCCATGCCTCTATGTCTTCTGCCTCATACCAGATGCCGTCGTCGTATGCTCCGTAGCTTCCATCATCGTTTTCTGTCCAGTACTCTCTGTAATGCAGACCGCTTTCCTCGTCACAGGTCCAATATATCAGCTCGCCGTCTTCGTAGTCCTGGTAGTAGTCCAACACGTGCTCGGTCTCATTGTGTTCCTCCATATAGTGAGTGCCCGAGCTGCCTGTGTTCATTTCTGACTTGGCGATGCGTGTGAGCATTGAGTACACTTTCTGGAACTTATCAAAGTCTCCATCTATATGCAACTTGATGTCGGCGATGCGCCTCGTCGGTAATCCACTCCATTTGAACAACATGTGTGTCAATCCGACGTTGCTGATCGTCGAGTTCGCCTTGTCATTCGCCTCTGTGTATCTCTCTATGAAGTTCAGCAAGTACTCCTGCAGGGTCTGATTGCTACGTCGAGTGTCTAGGAACCTGTCCAAGAAATCACCCTGCTTATCTTGATCGTGTGCTTCGAATGCTTCTGTCAGCTTCTGCATCAAGTGTCTTGCTCCTGATATGTCTGCTTCGGCTATGAGATTGCCTGCTGCATCTCGCTCTTCGTCAACTCTAGGCAATGCGAGGGCTGCGTCTCCTTTGTACTTCTGGTCACCTCTCGTCACCTCCAGACTCATCGCAATAGTGAATGCTCGATCCAGAAGTCTTGACGCCATACTTGGTCCAGCCTCTCGCTCATCCAGCAGCGTCAGCCGCCACCAGAGATGCAACCTCTGCATGTAGGCCTTGAAGGGGTATGAGTCGTCGAACGGTTTCCATCCTGGGAAGACATATCGTGCGAACTCCTGCAATCGATCTGGATGTTTGTGGTCAGCCGTTGTCTCTTGTCACAGTCGTGCTCAGGGATAAGTCGAACACACACAGCCTGACCGGCTGCTGTCGGGGGGCAAAGCAGATCTCCGCGTGTGGCGGTACCGTTCTTCTCACAGATGCTCTGGCGCTTCTCCTCGAAGGCGCTGGCCTTCGTGCGGGAGGAGCTGACCTCCGCTAAGAGCGTCCACACGGAGCGCTGCGCTGGCAACGCGTGGCCGCGGATCTGTTCCTCGAGATAGCGCCTTGCGGCGCCGGGTGCGCGCGATGGGGCCGCGCGCGTGGCATGGAGCCGTGGCTCCGCTACCAAACTGGATTGTTTAGTGCGCAAGTCCCTGAGCCCTTGAGCCCTACTATGATTACGTCGGGTCTTCATCACTGTTGCTGCTACACTACTGTACATCATTCAGCCTCTGAACTGATACTACACTTGATCTTAGCCAAGCCCTGGAGTACATCTGAAAACTCACAGGGGGGGGAGGCACCAGGGAGGCCAGGGGAGCCAGGGGAGGCCGCGACGACGCGGCGACGGCCAGAAGACATCCCGAGACTCTCCATGGCACGCTCTAGCACGCCCTCCAAGACACTCCCCGGCGCACACTGTAGCACGCAGTCCCAAGACATCCCCAAGACATTCCAGGGGGCACAGTCTAACACGCCCTCCAGCAGTTCTCTCCAAGACATTCTCTAGAGCACGCTCGACGACACGACGGCCCGAGAAATACTGTAGCGCGAGATCACACCAGTAGGCATGATAATGGAGCAATCCGATGCCTGGGGGGGAATGGAGGAGGGGTGGGGGGGGATGGGGGGGGCAAACCAGGGGGACCAGGGCGGCGAGCAACATCACTAATCCGACATACATAATAAAGCCGACATACATGATAATGAAGTGTCGAGCGGGAGCGTTGTTGTACGCGGGACGGCTTGCAACACCGAGGCGAAAGCGCTTATTCTGATTAGAGTATCCAGCGAGAGCGCAGGTTTTATTGTAGGGCTGGTTTGCGGCGACGAGCAAAAGCACTAGTGCCAATTGAATTGTGGGGAATATCGAGCGGGAGCGTTGTTGCACGGGGGACGCCATTCCTGAGTGAAAAACGAAGGTATAGTGCGGGAGCGCTGGTTATTTGGGAGGGCCAGTTTTCGGCAGCGAGCAATAGCAACAGTCCTGAGTAAGAACTGAAAACATCGGGGGCCAGTTTGCGGCGCCGAGGGGACAGTGCCGTTCCTTAGTAAAAAGAGATGAGATATCGAGCGGGAGCGTTGTTCTTGCAGGGGGCCGGTGTGCGGTACCGATTCGAGAGTGCTGCTCCTGAGTAGAAGCGGGCACGTATCGAGCGGGAGCGCTGGCTTTGTTGGAGAGCTCTTGGCGGCGGCGGGCCAGAACACCAGTCCTCAGTGAATGGTGGGGAAGTCTTGAGCGCTAGCGTTCTTGGGGGGGCCGTTTCGATGCAACCCCGAAGCGCTCGAGCGCCAGCCTTTCAAAGAAAGTGTTGCCAGCGCCGAGACGAGAGCGCCAGGGCGCCCTGGGGGGGCTCAGCAATAAGAATTGATTGCGTAGCGGTCTCAAATTCAATCAGACTCCGCATCGCGGAACCCCTGTTCAGCCACGCGCTCAGGGGCGGTGCAGGACTGCTGGGCCCCCACATTGATGTCTCTCCCAGGTGCTGCGGATGCTTCGCGTGATCAGGACCCTGAAGGAGCTCCACTTGATAATGGCCTGCATCCTTGGGTCATTCCGGTCCCTGTTTTGGAGTTTGATGATGATGAGCGTAATCTTCTATATGTTCTCGCTTGTATTCGTACAGCAGGCGGCCACGTATTTGAGCTTGGGCAACGCTAGTGACGAGATGGAGGCACAAATCATCAAGAATTACGGGTCGGTAGAGGCAAGCATGTTAACCTTATTCAAAACCATCTTCGGCGGTGACGACTGGTCCACGTTCTATGACACTATGGCGGAGGTGAGTCTCATCGGGCAGATCCTCTTCGTGACTTTTGTGGCTTTTGCGCAAATTGCCCTATCCAGCTGCCTTCGGCCAACCCCTGCACCGTGCCTGCGCAACAGCGCAGCAGGAGGGAACTTGAATGGTTAGCGCTGCGCGTATGCCCACCAGCACATCCAGGAACGATGGATGCCCAGGGGAGCTGCGCTTCTCAGGGGAGCGTGGCATCAATTTGAGAGCTCGGGGAGCCTCCGTGGGCCAGAGGCTTCTTGAATGCCTATCGGAGTCTCTTGGGATGTCTCTTGGGAACTAGAGGCCTCTTGGGGCGTTTGGGGGGCATCCTGGCGGCTCATGGGGCCTCTTGGGGCGCCTTGGGGCCTCTTGGAGGCCTCTTGGGACTTCTTGAGGGCCTTGTGGCGGTCTTCAGAGGCTCTTGGGGCGTCTTGGGGGCATCTTGGGAGCCGCCTGGGGGCCTCGTGGAAGCCTCTTTGGGGCCTCGTGGGCCGACTTGGGCCTCTCTTGTGGGACGATTGGGCTGTTTTCGAGCTACCTTGCAAGCATGTTGGCCCATTTGGGGCGGTCGCAAACCCACACAAGCGAGAACATCTGCATCCTTCAACAACCTCAGAAAAATCAAGGTTGGTTCCCTCCTTTGGCTCTTCGGGAGTGCCTCTTTGAGCCTTCTGGGGCCGTCTTGGAAGCCTCTTGAGCCTTATTGAGGCCGTCTTGGGAACCTCTTGAGCCGTCATGGGCCATATTAGGCCGTCTTGGTGTCATCTTGGTTGTTTGTAAGCCCCCCTTGGAAGCCAGCTTTGCCGCCTGGAGGCTGCAAAGCACGCCAGATAGCAAATTCAGGGGCGGCGACTTTCTTTGAGGGCTTGCTTCTGGGGGGGGGCGAGGGGGGGGGCCTTAGAAATACCAAAGAAACCTTCCAGACAACGAGAAGCATTCTAATACGCCCACTCCGTGCAAGCACCGTGGCGGATTGAACATCCTTACAGGCACCACGGGACAGATGGAACGGCGCGTTGGTGAGGGAATAGTATGGACATCGCGCCGCGCCGGAGGGTCTGAGCAGGGAGGGAGGGGAGACTCGGACGAGGTTGAGAGGGTAGAGCTTGGCTCGAACGTGTGCATTTTTCCTCGGCGAGGATAATCGAGGAGCATGTTGGGTCATCTTGCGAAAATATACACGCACGAAATCGCAAACTGCAGGAGGAATGGACGTCCGAGTGATGGCGAGGGGGAGAGGCGAACTTGAATGACCGACACGGCGAGAAAGAGCGACACCCTCTGGCCCAGAGGGACATGCGCATTGGCGCTAGCCTGAGCAGCCGCGTGCTCGGAGAGCAGCTTCTCTGTAGCAGGGACTCAAGACTTAAAGCGTTCCATTGCCATTACCCATCGCAGGCATATTTGTCGAGAACGCCCTCAAACTGGCCGAGCCTCACTATTATGACAAGGCCAACGATCACAGCAGGATGGTGCACGAACAGGCTGCGCGCGCAACGCCAATCCTACACTCACACCGATGATGCATCCCCTTCTTCTCCCACTCCTCTTCCCATGGTGGGGGAAGAGGCTTTTTGATTCGCGCAGGCGATTGCCCTGAAAGATATGCTGACGCATTTCGACGCTGACAATGACGGCTCGATATCCAAGGCAGAGTTCTTCGAGATGATCACCGACCCCAGGAGAGCCCGGCGGGAGTTTGTTTTCCACCCCTGCACAATCTGATCGACTAGACGTAAGAGTGACCCTTCGCCGGAGTGACCTTTGGTGTGGGCACCTTGGGGCCCCCCGATCGCCAAACGCGATGCGATAGTGGTGTCTTGCGCGCCCGTGTTGGGTCACCCCGCGGCCCCCCAAAAACCGCACACCTAAGGTCACTCTTACCCAGGGTCACTCTTGCGTGTGGCCGATCTGAGCACTTCTCCCCTTTGTCCTAATCGGCATTTCCAGTTGTGGCGCCTGCGGACCTGGCCTCCGCGGACACCATCTCTTGCGTACAGGATGCCCCTGCGGCGTGGAGCTGCGTGCCACAGACACGGGGCGGGCAGAGCGGATCCCTAACAGCCTTAAGTCACGACGGAGGGTTATGCCCATTTTCGGCTTCCGGCAGCCCTCATCGGGCCTCGGGACCATCAACGAAGGATTCAGGATAAAAAGTCAGTCCGGGGGAAGGGATCTAGACCTCTGGGGAGCCACGCTGCGAAAAATCACGGCGGAGGACGTCTGGGATCCACGGGCGCTTGCTTCTCCGCTGAGAGCAACCTGTGCGGTGCGCAGGAGCCGCATCTCGAATGCATCTAGTGGGCCAGGCTTTTCAGGCACAGTGAGTCCTCCCCCCTCGTCTCCCACCGCCCTCACCAACCCAGCAGCATAACCTCCTGGTAATGCACACTCAGATCCGAATCCAAACTTGGACTCGCCCTCGTGCTCAAAGCCAAGACTGCACTCGAACTCGGTTCGAATATTGACTCGGACCCAGGCTGAAACCCACAGTCTGACCATTGTCTAGGCCCCGCCCAGTGCCAGACTCAGATACGCGCTCGGACTTAGACTCTGGCTCGGTGCCAGATTCAGAATTCTGACCGAGACCCCGCAGTGTCAGGTTCTGATTCGGGCTTAAATTCAGGCCAGGCCCAGACACTGACTCAGACCTAGCTTTACCTCCGAATTGAAGCCCAAGTTATTGACGCTTCGCGCATCACCACCAGCGCATCCAGAAACGATGCCCAGGCGAGATGCATTGATCGGGGAGTGGGGGAGCATACAGCAGACCAAAGAGGGGGGGGGCAGCTGTCAAACCTAAGATCGGGAATCAGCCTCAGCAGGCCCATGAGTCAACCATAAAGGCCTTCGTGGACCTTTCGATCTGGAAGCTTCTTGGCAGCTTTCTTGGGATTCTCTTGGGGCAATGTTTGAAACCCTTTGGAGCTCTCTTGGCCTCTCGGCTCTGCGGCGGGGGCTCTGTATCCAGGGACTTCGGCAGGTGGTGCCTGTGGATATCTTCGGACCCCCTGGGGTCAAATCTTCAGACTGAGGAGGAAAGGGTAATTAGGCCCATACCGACCTTTCCCTCGTTTTCCTTTTTTGGGGCCTCCTGGGAGGCCCTCTCTTACATTCCTTACGTTCTCTTACATTCCTCGAATTCTCTTACACTACTCCTACGCAGGTCTTCGATTGCCTTTTTCTGGGTGCTCGTATCTCCGGCTGCATACGTGAACATGCCGGCTGAAAAGCACCATATGGGGACTCCAATGAAGAGCGTGCTCAAAACATCTGATCAAATGCGATGCACGGGAAGTTCACCACTAACAGTTGACGAAGACGGATCTCGAGCTTTACAGCACGAGTTCCAGCAACATGTGCAGGAGCTGGCGAGGCGACCTGTTCCAACATGGTGATCACTACCCCCCAAACACTTACTACTGATACCTTCTGGGGGATTGTGAACTAGCAGTTGGACCCGATCCGGAAAAATATTCTGGCCATTACAGATCACGGTGCTTCACAATATGACCTCCGGACGGCCATCAACACGCTGAAGGACGAGATTAACGGCCTGACAAACATAAATTTGCTTATTGGGGTCGTACTACACGTGACGTCCGCCAACTTCGGGCCCCAATTCTGCGAGGACTGCGTCAAGTAGGGACACGGCGACGCAGAATAAACTGCAACAGCTTGAACGGGACCTTCAGCAACTTAAACAACAGCGTGTCGCGCTTGATTGCCGTTCGGAGCAAGATCCTGATGAAAAGCGGTCGTTGGCAGGTGTTTTGGGGAATTTTGCGGGGTTTGACATGTTCAACACAGCGGCGGCACGGATCAAGGACAAGTTTTCCGAAGTAGACGAGCCCACCCCGTACAACTTGTACATGACAGGCGGTTCGACTACAGTTTTGCACGCAGGGTTTGCCACCAGGCTGGGCAGGGATACTGCCGTGGCTTTGGTCAAAAGTGCGGAGTTCGACTTACATCGGAATATTGCATGGGCATCGCCCGACCGCCATCCTCTAGAGAGAGCCGCTCGAAATTGCTGCTTCGGGTTGAAGTACTTTCTCAAAAGACACCATGCATTCGACGTACACCATAAGTGCATCAAATGAGGTTCCTTACCCAGTTCGTGTGGGTGGCCAATTGGCTCTTACTCTCATTACGGACGGCACGCATCTTACTCGCATGTGGGAAGAGGAATGAGAAAAGTGGGAGGATCTGTATCAACACGACCAACTAATATAACTGGTGGCGACATGTGATTCCTTAGTATCCAGGGCGACAGCAGGGAGTTAGGGAGGGCCGAAGGGCAAATCTAAAGGTCATAGGAAAGCGCAGGAAACACGCCAAGTATCTGGGAACGTCCTGCTTGATACTGGAGCCGCTGGACAAGGACATCAACACTCTGATCCGTCTTGCGTTTTGAGCTCTGGGGTGGTTCCGGGCAAAGCTACTAATCTCTCCAACATGTCGGTTTCAGATGAGTTCCCCCGGGTCGTAAACGGAGCCGTTGAAGATGGACGTTTTCGTCCTAGTTCGCTTGGTGCCAATGGTCCTGGACGCACCCTGGGCAAAGTTGTCGCTATGATCGGACCTACGGAATCGTGCACATTTTCTGCAGCCGGCTTGGGCAACGACACCAGACCGCAGCAACATTTCTATATTCCATATTCCTTACCTTCGCCTCTTGCTATTCCGCTGGCTTTTTCCGCATTTGTTTTGGCCTGCCACCGTCAGGGACTCTGGCTCGCCTGACTATTTCGGCGCATGCGTATCCTGCGCCGACGCCCGCAATTTTCAGGCCAGGGAAGTTCCCGGACTCTTGGGGGAGATCCAGGCGGACGTTTTCTTCACTCCAAGCGATGCGTCTTGGCACGTGGAATGTGGAAGGGACGCGAGGGAACTCAGTCATCAAGCTAACGGAAGTGGCCCACATCGTGGACAACTGCGCCGTCGACCTGGTATGCACGCAGGAAGCGCAACTACATGGAGCCGGATATTTCATTCAAGATGGTCATCTTTATATTCTCTCTGGCGGGGCGAATTTGGAATCCAGATCCGATGCAGGTGTAGGGTTCGTCATGTCACCTCGGGCGCGTTCTGCTGTCGTCGCTTCTGGAGCTATCGGACCCAGCGCGGCCGTGCTCAAAATCAAGGTCGTCGGAGGCGGCATCTTGACGCCCATTTCCGCATATGCCCCCCGCAGCGGGCGTGGCCCAGGATGATTTCAGACGCCCCATGCTGCCCTTGCCCAACACGTCAAGCCAACGGCGCCGCGCAGCTCCACCGTCGCCCTGGGGGGCTACAGCGCCGAGCTATCATGTCGAGGAGCGGGCGAAGAGGACATCATTGGCGAACGCGTTTTCAGAGGAGCTCCACCCCAACAGCACGTTCCACAGGTGACGAACCGGCATTTGCTAACGGCGATCGCCAGCGCATTCTGCGAGGGGGAGAGCGCCGACAAGATCACCTACCGGAACTTGGGGGTGCAGCCGACGCAACCGTTGACGGCAGAGTTGTTCTCTGAAATCGATCATTCGTTGCGCCGCCGCTCGATACTTGCACGCGTGGAAGAACGCTGGTTTGCAAGGGCAGCAACCCTCAGTGGTCATAAGTTTCTAACTTGCGCTTCTCTGCAGCTTGAATTTCAACGAACCTCAACGGCTGGAACACCGAAGAAGAGGAGAAATTCTGACGCTCTGGCAAACGAGCGCGCACAGGAATTCTTCACCGCGACACTATTCAATGCCGTTGCGGACATGCCTGCGTCTCCTTTTCTGGGCGAGGCCGTGGGGCATGTTCAGCCAGCTTTCGACGCAGCAGCTGCCGTTCTTCCAAGCTGTGAAATACGACCGCGAAGACCATGGACAAGCACGTACACTCTGGGACTCACTGCCGAGAGGGCCGCCAACTGCAAGTCGGGGGATTACAAAACCGAGCTCCAGCTACACAGACTGATACGGAAAGCCGGGAAGGAGGATCGCGCGGCTTGGTTGGATAATCCAGTCTGTTCTGGCAGTTTGGACGCGGTCAAGCAGCTGCGAAGACCTGCTCTTCGCAAGCACGTGGGAGTCAAAGAGTTGAAAGGGAATCAGTTTGACACTTCGGCCAGACCAGGCACCCTCGCAGAGTATTTCGAGGGGGTGCAACGGCGAGCCTGCGCTGCAAACGCGGCGCCCACGAACGCCGAGATGCCCGGGGCCACCTCGATGATCATCGCCGACGCGTTCTCCTTGGAAGAATTCCGGGCAGCGATAGAAAATATGAGAAATATGAAAGCAGTTGGGCCTGATGACGTCCCTGCGGAATTCTGGAATGTCATTGCTGGGGGCACGCGCGCCTGCGGAGCCTTCATGCGAGTGCGCCAAATATGCTGGGAGGCGAAGGCCATGCCATCCACGCGCAACTACAGACCGATATTATGTTTGGCCGCCTGGACAAGGCATTGGCGTCGACGTTGCACCTGGGGCTTTTAGATGGTGGATGCGAGCGGGGAGCGCGGGAATCACACTTCGATTCCAGCTCGAAGCGCGGCGCGTCAGACGCTTCGACGTTCGCGCGGAGGATGGTGGATGCAGCTCGCGTGCGCAATAAGGACGGATTCTTGTTTGTATTATCCGATTGGGCGAAAGCCTTCGACCGCCTGAAGCCCGACAGCACGCGCATGGCCCTGGGAAGATTTGGACTACCACCGCCAACCGTTAGCATGATTCGTTGGATATACGCAGAGCGGCATTTCGCGATTATTGACCAGTGTGGGGCACCTTCGGAGAGAAAGCCATATGTAGGCACCGCTCAAGGTTGCCCCCATCAGCCCCTACCTGTTCATCGCTGTTCAGACCGCGATGCTGCACGACGATTTGGATTTGCTCAAATTACAATTAGAACCCGACTATGTTACCACCAGGGACATTTTGTACGCAGACGACACTCTCTTGGCGTCGAAATTCCCCGGTAATGTGCAGTTCATGCTTGAGTCCATTGTTACTGAGGGTCGCACGTCTGGCATGAAGCTGAATTGGGATACGACAGTGCAGATGAGAGTGTCGTCAACGAGCGAAGTGACGAGACCCACGGGCGAAAGCATCACATCCGTCAGGGAAGCCGTCTAGCTGGGTGGGCTAGTATCTTGCGACGGGAAGGCTGGGAGCAAGTTGTCTCGGAGGTTGTGCCGAAGAGCGACCATATTCAAGCAGCTGCTCAAATTAAGGTCTCACGCCGCCGTCGGTTGGAAGAGAACGTACAAGATGTATGCCGCATGCGTTTTGAGCAAAGTCCTACATTCTTTTGATTCAAGATGGCTTATCAAAGCCTAGAGAGCGCGATTAGACGACTTTCGTTGCAAATGCGTACGGAAGTTATTGGGTATTCCGCCGTCGCACATCTCCAGGGTCACCAAAGCCTCCGTGTTGGACAAGGCCAGAGCGAAGCCATTTTCTGTCATGCTAAGTGAGAGGCAAATGGCACTGCACACCAAGATCGCGAATGGAGGTGGTTCTTCTGTCGCGAAATCAATATTCTGTAACGACGACGGCTCTCCCAGACAATGGGCTTCCTTCAGGAAGCGCGGGCGGCCGCGGCAGCGATGGGCCACCTCTGCGTACGAGATGTTGCAGCTTTGAGTAGTATCCTCCCCTCTTTCCTCTTCCTGCACCTGTTCCCTTTCCTCCCTCCCGCCGCGACTCGTCTTCTTTTCGCGCCTCTAAGGCATTGTTGTGATTATTTGCCTGCCTCGATTTCAGCTGAATAGGCGCATTCTGTCGTAACCGCCCCGCCTTGTGGAAATGCAGCCGAAGTATCGCAATCGTGTCTTCCGCGAGCAGGCCCTGTCGCAACGGCGCGTTCTTGGGAAATGCGGCCGGATTTTCGCAACCCCGGTTCTCAGCCGAGGCCCCGCCACACATTTACCGTTTCAATGGCGTGCCGCATTCTCGCATTTGTTATGATTTACCCGAGGATTTGCCATTCGTGCACTCTTCTGCCCACGCGTCCTGCCAGATGCATGGTTCAGTGATGGTGGTGGTGGTGGTGGTGAAGCTCTCTTGCCGCCCCTTCGAAGGGGGGACGCATGCGAACACCGCCACCGGGGCTTTTCGGTGTAGCCCCCATGTGGAGCCGCGAAACGTGAAAGAAGTTCACCGACATGGACATGCGGAGGGCAGATGCAAGGATGGGAGGAGGAAAGGGGGGGTGGCGGGTGGGAAGGAGACGCGGGGCGGTGGTTCTTCAAAACGAGGACCCAACACCGCAGGATGGTCGGGAAATCGCGATTTTGGCGAAGGGTTCGCACCACATGCGAATGCGAGTGCCGCAGGGCATGTGGGACGACGGAGGGGCATGTCCCTACGGGGCCACGGAACGTATAAGGGGTGTACCGACAGTAGTGCGTGGCCGCCATCCTGACGTTACTGCCGGGGCCACCGGTGGAGCTCCCCGTTGGGCCACGAAGCGTGTCAAGGGTGTGCCGAAAACGGCGCGGGGCCGCCATGCAGACCTTACCGCTGTGGCAGTCGGTGGTGCATCCTGTGATAGTGTGCAGAAAGGGCGCGGGGCCGCCATGCGGGCCTTGCCATTGGGGCCTTCGGTGGAGCTCCTTATGGTGCCACGAAGCGCGTGAGGCGTATGCTGAAATGGGAATGCGGAGAGTAAGGGATAGGGATGGAAGGAGGGGGAGAGAGGTGAGGGTAGGCGGGATGGGAGACGCGGGGACGCTGTCTCTTCAAAACGAGGGCCCAAAAACACAGGACGCTTGGGATTTACGAGGCGCATGCGCGCGCCGCCGCGCGCAAGTCAAAATCAGTCAAAACCGATGTTGGCAACCCAAGACATTGCGAGTTAAATCTATCGACAACAGTGTGTCCTCCGACACAGAAGTCAACATAACTCTGCCCGCGCGCACTCGTTGAAACTCTGTTTGTGCAAGACATCGCTGTTTGTAGCCATTCAGTCGAATCAGACAATGCGGGCCGCTGGCGCGCGCATTTCGAATACGATCAACGACCGTCGCGCGTCGACCCAACTCGTCAACGTGTTCCATGCGGGCCACTCGCGCGGCCGCCACGCGCGCACGCCGAAATCGATCCAACATCGGCGGTGTTTCGTAGGAATGCCAGCACGGGTGCCCAAAACCATACGAAACCACAACGGTTTGTAGTAAGAACATGTCAGGGTGTTTGAGTTTCTGCGAGCGCGCACTTGACATTCTCATCGGTACCATCGCGATCATCATCGTCAGCATCGCCATCGCCAGCACCATCAGTATCAACATCGTCAGGATCCTCGCCGCCGCCGACATCGTCGACGTCGTCTCCTGTGCCGAAGTGTTCCTCGAGGGCACCTCATCACCATCATCCCCCCAGCACCACCGTCATTATCATCATCAGCATCATCATCACCATCAGCATCATCAGCATCAGCATCAGCATTATCTTCATCGTCATCAGAATCATCATCAGCACCATCAGCATCACCATCATCAGCATCATCATCAGCATCATCGTCATCAACATCAGGATCATTATCATCATCAACATCATCATATCATCATCATCGCCAGCGTCAGTGTTGCCACCGCCATTACTATCACCATCAGTGTCATCACGAGCACCACCGTTGCAGTCAACACCGTATCGTCCCCGGCCCGCCTCCACCATCATCACCATCGGTACCAGCGTCATCACCATTGTCATCGCCATCGCGTTGACTGCGCGATCGTCACCATCGCCGCCACCATTTCGGAACCTGCATGACGAACTTGTCTGCGCGGTTGAGTTCCAGGCGCTCGCGCGTTCGCTGAGGTCATAGCGGCATGAGATTTGGCGACAGTTTCGGGTGGAAGGGTGTGATGTTTGCACAGGCAGTGGAATTCATCGCTGTCCAAATGATGTCTGAAGGAGTCTTTCATCATCGATGAAGGGTTGATGAATAGTCTCTTCAGGATACACTGAACATCTCTAGGATAGCTGAAGGATCTCATAAAGATATCTCAGTAAACTCGTCGGGATATCGGGTGGACCTCTAAGTGATGCTCGTTGGAAGGTCCTTGCGGGTAGCTAGATTAGTGTTTGTTTGTTGGTTGGGATTGGTACCAAAAGTAGTTGGGAGTTTTGCGCAATGGTTTGGATACGCACGACTGGGTTCTATTCTATGCTTCCTCCGTGGGCACTCCCCCGCGGCACCATCTGGAGGAGTGGGATCAAACAGAAGTGGTTTTCATCGATTCGATTACGACCTGGGCCGATTTACCTTGGACTGGCGAGCTTGGGCAGCCCCCGTTGGCCACAGGCCAGGGGGGAAAAACTTCGAATAGAAAAGCATCTCCTGGGACCAACCGGGACGACCACCCCAGACCGCCCCCTCACACCCGCCGAGACAGGGTTCGAGGCAAGCGCACAATCAGATCCCGTTGATGTATTTGAATGCGAGCGCGGATATGTTTGGAGCGCTCCGCATTCCGTTATTTCTTTCCTCGGAGGTCCCTCCCTGTCCATCCCCTCGACCTCCAAATGCCTCGCATCCCTTGCCCTCAACGTCCACCACCACTCCCCGAGGGTTCAGAAGTACATGCGATACCTGGGCATCGATGTGCCTGACGTGAACACATTTTTCAACATGCTCGGGGGCGTGGACGCGCACGGGAACGTGAAAATCGACAGATGCGTCGAGAGTTGCATGCGATTGAGGGGTGAGGCCAAGAGCATCCAACTGAATCAGCTGCTGTACGAGGTGAAAAGCCTGGACTTGCAGGGTGTGTACTCGCAGGTCTCTGCGATGAGGCACGACCTCAGCGTCGTCATGGGCTTCTTCGAGGGCCTGAGCGCTGCCGCTCCCGGTGCCGAGGAGAGCGCGACGCCTGGCGAGAACGCCGGGCGGGCAAAGCCGATAGCCGCTTTCCTCGCGGCTGCGGATGCCGGCATTGCTGCCGCGGTGCCACCGGACACGGCGACTCCGCCAACGAGCCCCGGCTCGGCGCCCGCCCCGCGGAGGAACGGCCAGATGAGGTTCTGTGGTAGGCCGACGGCCGCGAGCCACAGTTGCCTGCCACTGCTGCCGTGAGGATTCGGCGGGAACGGGTCAGAGGAGGAAGAGGTAACCATGCCGCCACCCCTTCCCTCCCCCCCCCTTTTTGTTGCGCCTCCTGGGAGAGGGGGGGTCAACGTCAACCTGTCCGCGCCCGTGTGCCGGAGGTCTGTTTTTTCTGCGGCGGGTGGCGCTGGCCGACGTCGCGCGGCAATGCTTGCCCGCGACGGGGGCCGATTTGGGGCTGCCTGCGGGGGTTGCGCCCCGCGCTGAACCGCCACCGCTGGGCATGGAGCGGACGCGTCCTCAGGTCCCTTGCCCAAGCCTCCAAGCCTCAGTCCTCCATCCTAAGGGTTAAAGGGGCCCGAACCCGAATTTCCGCAATCTCCTGGGGCTTGTCGTGCGCCCCCTGGGCCCCGTCGCATCTTCCCGCCGAAGCCGAAGCTGGCCCCAGGACGAAGCGGGCCGAAGCGGGCCCCAAGCCGAAGCGGGCCCCAGGGCGGGCCGAGGGAGCCACAAGCTGCCCTCAAGACGGCCCAAGGACCGCCCCAGGACGCCCAAGATGGCCCCAATGCGGCCCAAGAGGCCTCCAAGACGCCCCAAGAGGCCTCAAAGAGGCGTCCCAAGAGGGCCCCCTGAGGCCAAAATCATTGTTTGTTAGGCTTTGAAGGATTTGAGCGGTCTCGCCATGTCTGCTTTCCGACGCTCCAAGACTGCCCGAGGGGCCTCCAAAACGGGCCCCAAGACGGCCTAAGAGCGCCCCAAGACGACCCAAGAGGCACCCGAGACGGCCCAAGAGGGCCTCCAGGCGGCCCCAAAGGGGCCCAGGGGCGTGAGCACGAATCGAAAATTCGAGCCTCGCGCCCCAAAAGGTCCCCAGGAGGCCTGGAAAAGGCGCCCAAGAGGCCGCCAGGAGGCCGGCCCTCGTCTCCACCGCTGGACTCGCCTCGAAATTCTGGTCAGGACGCGCCCCAGGAGAGGTCGGGGGGGTATGGTAGGTTCGTGTCGTGTCGACCGGCGGCGACCCCGCAAGCGGCGTTCAACTTTGAACGCCGCGGGCGACCCAGAATCGTTCGATGTGGAACGATTTGGACGCTTCGGAGACGGCCGATCGTTCAAGGTTGAACGATCCCCGCGGTGTCAGGAACCAACGCCGAAGTCGGCACGACACGATCCTGCTGTAGCGGTATCGGTACCTTTTGGTTTCTCCTCAGTGGCAAGGACGGCGCATGTTTTTGCTGTTTTTCTCCGTTGGCCCAGATTTGGGGGGCCGCGGGGCGGGGCTCCTGTTGTGCGTGCTGTGGTGAGCGTGCCTGGTCCGCAGTTCTTCTGTTTGTCACCACTCCCTGGTGGCTCCTCCTCCTCCTCCTGCTCCTCCTGCTCCTCCTCTCCTCCTCCTCCTCCTCCTCCTCCTCCTCCTCCTCTCCTCCTCCTCCTCTCCTCCTCCTCTTCTCCTCTCCTCTTCCTCCTCCTCCTCCTCCTCCTCCTCCTCCTCCTCCTCCTCCTCCTCCTCCTCCTCCTCCTCCTCCTCCCCCCTGCTTGGATCCCAAATTCAACCACGCGTTGCTTTCCCCAACGGGAGAGGCCTTCTCCAGGTGTCGCCAGCGGCGGGCCTGGCCCAAGGTGGCCCTAACTGATCAGGGGAGGCCCCGGTGGCCTCCAGGGCACCACTCACGAGGCCCAGGGCGCCCCAGGGGCTTCAAAAAGGGCACGAGAAGCTCGAGACACCATGGGCCAGGAATACCTTTGAATACCTTTGGCAACCTCGCAACCTCTCTCTTTCGTCTTTTCGTATTGTTTTTTGTTGTTTCTCTCTCTCTCTCTCTCTCTCTCTCTCTCTCTCTCTCTTTCGACATTCACAGTGTTGTCGAGATGTATTTTCCAGAAGAGAATTGAGCTCTCCTGGCGCATGGGCTCTGCAGCCGTAACAGTGCAGGGCCATGGGTTTAAGGCCTCCCCAGTGGGCGCGGCCCCTCCTCAGCCTTCCACGTCGTCATCCTCAGTCGGGTATGTCCCTCTACAGGAGGACGACTCAAAAATAGTAAGAAAAATAGTGTTGGGAATCTTTTCTATGTTTGAACATGTTTTGTCTATGTTTACTGTTTCGTCCAAAATCCGCCTGTAGGAGGACACGCCCGATCTTACGTTATCCCTCCCTCCGCCCATGCCCCCTTCGAGCCAAAGTGCCGCCAGGTTTTCATTCGATTTTCAGTGTGCAGGCCAATGCCTGCAGCACGTGGATTCGACCAGAGCACATTGGTGACAACTGCGCAGACGATCATCATCGCTCGTCAAGCCCATCGTCGCCACGTCGAACTGGTACACGGCTTGACGGACCGTGAGCGCGAGCCTCTTCCTCCTCTTCCTCCTCCTCCTCCTGCGATTATAGATTCTCCGCGAAACGTGCTCACAGCTGTCTCTATCTCTGCAGCTTCTCGGCCCAAGCTCCCCTCGGCCGCGGCGCGAACGCCTTCTGCAGGCGATCGCGCAGGCTGTCGTCGAGGGAGCGGGGGAAGCGATCTTCCACGGTATGCGAGCCGCGTTCCACAAGCGGCTCGTGACTCCGGCTCTCCATCACTTCAGGACCAGAGTGCGGCACCCCTTGGGCCCCCCTGGTCCACCCAGGCGGAGCATCCTGGAAGAGAGAGCACCTTCTGCCCTGTTCCTCCCGCGGGTTCTGCCTGCCCCACCACCGCCTCCTTCGGACTGGCGGTGGACCTGAGCGGCGGGGTCACTCCCTGGCTGCTCTCGACGGCCGACGCCCTCTTCACGGCGACGGCCGCGTGCAATTCCTGCGGAGGCTGCTCTCTGGGGGTCCTCGTGGCCCGCTGGTGGGCATGCCCCCGGCGCCCAACAGACGATTTTGATGTCAAAGGGTTGGCGCGGGAAGGTCGCTTTGCATGCGTGCGAAGCGCGTTCAACTAAACGTCTTGAATGCGGCGTCCCGCAAAACGCGGACGTCTACGCACTCGTGTCGACTATTCGTTGAGATCGTCGGCAGGCGCCCCGTTCAGGCCATTTGCACCCTGCATAGGGCAAGGGCGCGGGGGCCAACGGGAGGGGCCCGCCCCCCCATTCCATCTGAGGCTGTTGCGCATGTGGCTCAGTTACGATTTGAAGTTTGACATCTGATAGGTTTACAACTTGGAAATTATCTCATGTACGCGTGGCTCCGAGGGCGAGCATTTAAACTATGACGCTGGAAATCCAGAAGCCGTCGGGCGTCGTCAAAGTTTTGGAGATACAGTATGTGCCTGGGCCAACAGAGCAACTTTATGGCGCTTCAATTTCAGAGTGACACAGTTCGAATGCTTTCAAGCTTCCATCGTTTTCTAAAGTGACAAACGTTGAAACTTGTTACAGCCGCAAAACCGTTTCAACAGTTTACGGTTTTGACATCATGTAAGTATGAAGCGTGGAGGTTTCCTATTGTTTGGAGTTTGAGCGCTTGAACATTGAACAGTTTCTACGCGGAGTAGAAGGAAACAGGAGTAACCGACGAACGCTTGTATGTATAATGATTGTTGTAAGTTTTGAAACAGGGGGCGCTCGCGACTTGGTCAATCGTCTTTTCCCGACAGCAGGTCGGCTCACATAGTTTCGTGACTTTGTCGCTGCGGTCAGAGAGCGTCTACAAGAGCGGAAAAGACGGACCTAGGCAAAATACCATGGCTGCGCAGTAACATTCGTTGTTCGTTCGACCAAGGGTGCTCGCGTAAGTTCAATCATGGTTTCTGGATGCGCGCAGGCGGCGAAAAGGGGTGGGATGGGAAGGTGTTCCATTAATCCGTAGTTGCGTTGCGGCTTCCTCGTGCGTTTTGAAACTAGAGAATTCGCCTTCAGGCGTTCGAACATATGTTCGCTTGGGGTTTGGCAGGGCAAAGGAGGGGGAGCAGGAACGGCTGGCGAGAAAACGCGACTACGCCGCAACGGTTCGTCATGTGCGCAGAGCGCGGTCATGGTCCTTTTCCCTCTGCCGATCGCAAGGGTCCCCCATGAACTTTTCCGTGACCCGCGCGGGCCCCCAGGCGTTTCGTCATCCTTCCCCGCGTGTCTCCAGCAACGATCTTCCAAAAGTGCTCCTGGAATTCAACAACCTGGAGGGCATATGTGGTTTCTCCACTGAGGGGGATCTGCTTTTTCGCCCAGTCCTCGGGGGGCGGGCTATCTGACGACAAACATTGGCACGACGACGCCGACGAGCGTTGCAACGACGACGACGAGCGGTGCGGCGACGACGGCGACAAGTGTCTCGGCGACGACGGGCACGAGCATTGCGATTGCAACGGCGACGACGGTGATGACGACATTGACGAACACTCGGCGGCGGTGGCGACGAGTGCTGCGATGGCGACGGCGACGAACCTTGCGACGACGAAGACGAACGTTACGACGGCGACGGCAGCGACGAGCGTTGCCGAGACGATGGCGAGCGAGACGACGACCACGGCCACGCGGAGAGACGCGATGACGACGCCATTTAGTTCCACGACGACGACGACGAGCGTCACGGCGACGACAGCAACTAACGTTGCGACCACAACGCCGACGGGCGTTACGACGACGACGACGACGACGAGTACTACGGCGACCAATGTGGCGACTATCGCGAGGGCGATGGCGAGCGTTGTGACCACGGTGGAGAGCGTTCCAACGACAAGAGCAACGGGCGTTACGATGATGACGAACATTACGGCGGCGACGACGGCCACGGTCTCTTGGTGCGTTGAATGGCGGTTGTGGTGTAGCGGCGCATTCGTTTTGGGAGTTTTCACCGACGGCATGATTTAGTGGGAGGTTTTCGGGGGAGGAACGGTTGGCGGAAGGAGGATGAGGACGAACATGTGTTGATGGTGGTGCTTCAGAGTTCCCGGGGCCTTCCCCTGATAAGCACAAAAACCAACGACGATTTTGCGCACGATTTTGCAATACGATTTTTTTGGGCGACTTGCTTGAGACATCTCGACACAAATATTGTTGGCCAGTATTGTATACGAAATCGTGTTGGATCGGGCACCAGATTGTAACACAAATTCTTCTCTCTGGGCCCGGGCTCTCTTTTCAAAATCGTGGTGGCGGTTCGCGGACCCCGCATTCAAAATCGTAAGGGCGGGTCTTGAAAATCGTAGCCGAAATCGTGGTGGGGGAGTTTGAAAATCGTAGGGGCGGATGTTCAAAATCGTAGCCAAAATCGTTGGGGCGGAGGTTGAAAATCGTCGTAGAGGTCACGGTGGAAGGCCACGCCTGCCTGGCCTGACGGCTGGAAAGGTTTGGCCTCAAGTACCTTGCCTTGAGGCCGGAGTTTTCGCTTGAAGTGTCCGGCCTCGCGGCCGGGGCAGTTCAGCCCCGCGGCCTTATCCTGTCATGGAGCGGCCAGTCTATGTATATAGTGCCATTGGCGGCGAGGCAGCTCCAAGAAGGCTCCAAGAAGGCCCAAGGGGATCCTGAGCGGGCTCCGGGAGGGCCCGGGAGGCCCCGAGACACGCCCTCGTGGGCCTTAAACGTTCCTAGAGTCCCCCACGGTAGAGGACTTGAAACGGACGTCTGAGATACTCTACCGCGGGGGCCCCAAGAGGGCGCCAGGAGTGCCACAAGACAGCTCCAGGATGGCCATAAGATGGCCCCAAGAGAGCTCCAAGAGGGCCCCTGAGGCCCCAAGAGGGCCCCAAGGGGGCCTCGAAGGGCCCCCCAAAGCAGTGAAAGTGAAGTCACGCGAGCGCCCTTTCGCGCGACTGAACTTTCACTCACCTTGGGGGCCCTCCGGGGCTTCTTCTGAACCCCCACAGGCATTCCTAGCGGCCCCAGAAAGGCGAATTAGAGCCCCAAGGAGGGTACCAACAGGCCCCCAAGAGGAATGAAACTTATGTCACGCGAAAAGGGCGCTCGCGTGTCTTCACTTTCACTGCCCTTGGTGGCCCTTCGGGGCCCTCTTAGAGCCCTATTGGGCCTGAGGGTTATCCGGCCTTGTGCGCCACAATCATGCGGCAGCTTTCTGGTGATATGCGCTTGCGCCTCGCAATCGCGACGCGATTCCAAGGAAATGCGAAGTTCCACTGCCCATGCGCGAGCACAGCGATCGTGCGAAACAGTCTCCTCGAACAGTGCTGGCACTTTTTGCATTGCATGTTTCTGATATGCGCTGTAGAAGAATCAAACCAGATTTCGATACATGCGTAGATAACACTTAAAACAACAAGCTTCGACTCCGACCGCTCCAACACGCAAGCAGCTCTAGTGAGGCAAGCCCCAGGCGGTCCTGAAGAAGGCTTCGGAGGGCCCCCCTGGGGCCTCGCCGAGTCCCCATCATACAGGCCTAGAGAGCCCAAGAGAGCTTCAAGAGAGCCCGAGAGATCCCCAATACGCCTTCCCACCGTCCAACCCTTGCCTCCCAGTCTCCTCTCCTTGGCTCCCTCCGCCCCTTTCCGGCGCCTTCCCCCCGCCCTCTTCGCTCTCGTTCTTTATGCTCCCATGTGCTTCCCCTGCGGAGGATGGGGGTGTGAGGAGGGCGGGGGTAACTGCAACCGGTCTTCTCGCCGACGCGGAGCATGTGCAGGCAATTCCCGTGGTGGGGGCGCTCCTGGCTGGCGATCGCCCTCGTCGTCGTCCGTTTTGCCCGTGCTCTTTGCATACTGCGTGGACATGCCAAAACAAAATCTGTATAGTTTCAAGCAAGCAGCGAAACCAGTTAGGAGAAACTGCAGGTCCAGTCACCCACGCAGGCTCGACTCGATGATTCGATTTGTTTAAATCGAATAATTTATGTGCGCGGCGGCTGTGTTAAGGTGCGTTTAATTTCGTTGCTTAGGGCGTTGATCCCAGGGTGTGTGCAAATCGTCCGTTCCTTTTAGGAGCTCGCCAGAATTTTATCTGACCTCCTCGGCCCCACCTCGTGGCGGTCAGCGTCGCTCCCCCTTTCTCCGCCAACCCTTGCTGCGCCCATCTCTCCCGTGATGTTTCTTCCGACCGTGCCCGCGTCATCGCCTCTGATTTGGGGTCACGAAGTGTTTTATAGAAAACGATGTTTTCATGAAAAAAGTGAGGTCAAAATCGTGGCAGGGTTTGTTGGGGCACCGGGGCCAACCAGACCGCGCGCCGCAGCTCCTGCTCCCCTTGAGCAGAGCCGTCGCGCGTCGTGGGCACTGGGGTGTGTCATCGCGCCTGCCCTGGTCGACCAGGCCCTTGCGCGGGGCCGTGCTCTGCGGGCCCAGAGCCGGCGAGGCTGCCGTCACCCCGCCACGCCACGGGGCTGAGCCCCTTCGAATGGCAATGTCTGCCCGCTTG